AGGGGTGATCTGATGGCCACCTACAAGTTTATCAGGGGTGACCACCAGCATCTGGGGGAACGTTTGTTCACCAGAGCGCCCCAAGGGATGACGAGGTCGAATGGTCACAAACTACTTCAAGATCGTTTCAGGCTGGACATAAGAAAGAATTTCTTTACTGTCCAAGCCCCCAAGGTCTGGAACAGCCTGCCACCGGAGGTGGTTCAAGTGCCTACATTGAACACCTTCAAGAGCTAACTGGATGCTTATCTTGCTGGGATCCTATGACCCCAGCTGACCTCCTGCCCTTTGGGCAGGGGGCTGGACTCGATGATCTTCCGAGGTCCCTTCCAGCCCTAATGTCTATGGCAGCACTAATCAGTTTTATTGCAGCCTAATGCTGCCACACATGTAGATGGTGATGCTTTACTATGCAACAAATCAGTCTACTCTGCAGTAAAGTGCACATGTAGATGCACCCACTAGGAGGGAATTCAACAGCAACAGGATGTCCACAAGGATTTTAGCAAGGGGTCAGGAACCAGGAAGCTTACATTTGCTCAGCTAGAGAATAGAAGCAAAGTGATGGAAGTTCCTCCTACAGTCCTAACATACTGGGAGAATTGGCAGCTCTAAGCCTTGTTACATTCCATTACGTTGTTCTAATGCTGTATTTGACCAAGGTGAACACGAAAGTGGAATTTTGCAGGTCTATTTCTAAGGAGGATGGAGATAAACTATTCTCGGGACAGGGCAAAGAGCATTGGTCTTAATTTGCAGCAAGGGAAATTTAGGTTGGATATTAGGAAGAACTCTCTCACTACCAGAGTGGTTAAGTACTGGACAAGGCTTTCCAAAGTAGTTGTAGAATAACCATCCCTGGACATTTTTAAGAACAGATTAGACAAAAACATGATTGGGATGGTTTAGTCAGGGATAATCCTGCCTTGGGTGGGGGAATGGACCAGATGACCTCCTTCCAGGCCTACTTTTCTATGACTCTGTAAATAACAGTCTTTTTATCAACCTGGCCAAACCAATAGTCATTCTTGAAACCCTGCACAAGCATACACAAAGAGAATAAGAGTTCAAAGACTAAAAATAACAATAAAGATATTTGCTCCTCTTTCAGGACCAAATCCAACATGGAAATGAACAAGTAATTTAAGCCACATTTGTGCATATAAAATTTGATTTTTCAATAGGTTTTCATGTGTGTTTGCATCTGAAAACAAAATGTAGTTTTTAAATTTGTAAAAATATTTAAGATATATATTCCTTCTGAGAAATGAAGTGAAATGAGGGCTATGATTCACTAGGGAGCTTTTTCTGATACTTCTAGGAATTTAAAGCCATAATTAAATGCTTACCTGAATAGGAAGAATCTTATAAAGAATGCTGAGAACCACCTCCTGGTAAACATTCATTCGTTCAAGTATGTTGATTGTCCTCAGAGATTCTGTTTTATTGTCATGTATTAGGTCATGTAATCCTAAACATTAAAAATAAATAAAAGTAAGGGAATGTTGTTTTTATTTATTCCACATCCATGGTATAGTGTGAACTTTTCAAGTGTATTTTAAGGTCTTCTTTGAAAGATTTATGAAGTTTCTTTATCAAAGATTTGAAACACACTATTTTATCTGGCTGAGTTACAAAGACCCCAAAAAACTTCTTTGATTTTCCCAGTTATGATTCTTGGATGACTGCTATTGCAAGTGAATACGAAACATTCACTACTATACTTATATTCCCAATGTGGTAGAAACTGCAGTGATAAATTATGTTTGCAGCAACAGACTCGGGGTATTAAATATGAGGTGAGAAGCTGTGCACTTCTAAATCACTACTACAAATCCAACTAGGTTTGATATCGACAGTCACTACCAATTATAACAGATATAAGGTTAACATAAGCATAATTACTTAGAGATCTCACCCCAAATTCTAGAAGATAATATATTACCACAAATAACCCAACTTGCACCATACTAGGTTATTATATATTTTGTAACAATGCCTAGAACATTTAACCAGTCATGAGGGCCCCCCCTCTGCTAGGAGCTTTATGTGTACACAATAGGTATAACAATGCTTCTGTACCTGTGAAGTACCTTCACAGGAGGCACTACACCCTTCTATTGGCTAATCTATTCCTATACATTGTATAAATGCATCAAATAGCCTCCAGCACTTTTTTAAGCACAAAATTAATTTTTCTTTAAGTTAATTTGAACACCATAAAATACCTTGTCGGATGGATGGAGCCTGCAGCATCTGTTTATAGTAGGAGTAATACAGTCCACATTCAGTCCTGAATGAAATTTCTCGTTCTACTTCCTGCAAATAAAATTTAAAAACCAAGCTACTTAAAGTACAACAATAAAACATAGCTTCTACTTGCATCCTGGTATGGTGTAAAGTTGTGTAATTTCACCAAATCAGTTTGTTAAATATTCAGACCTGCAAACTTGGGACCTGATTCTGTAAATTTTCTCATGTGAGTAGTCATTTCTCATATTTTAGTCCACCAAAGTCAGTAGGATTCTAGTATGAAAAACAATTACTCGGATGAGAAAGACTTGTAAGAGGGACCCTGTAATGAGAAAATCAAATTAGAATAGGAATGTTTGTATTACTCCCTTTAAACTTCAATTAAGCTTTTCTTTTGTCTCAACATTCCCTTTCATGTCAGGCACTCAGAATTTCTGGCTAAACGATAGAATTCATCTGCACAGTGACTGTACACATTGTCTAAGACTAAATGACTGGAGTTTATGGTGTCTGTGATTTAATCTGGATAAAGCCAAAGCTAAAATGGCAAATTAGGTCAGGGGAACAAAAAAGGTGGCAGAGGTGATACTACCTCTATCAGAGGGAGCTTGCCTGCCTTTGCAATTCCAACTGGAAAACTTGGGATACTACTGGTTCTTCATTTATTATTGTTATAGTTCTGGGCAGTCAGGTAGCTGCAGTACTTAAAAGCCAGATTTTTTCAAAGTGCAAATGCTGGTTAGCAGGCTCCAACCTTTTCTTTTCCAGACGCAGGTGTCTCTGTAGCGATCCAAGTCTTTGCCACTTTAAGACTTGGTTAATCCAATATGCTCTACCTGAGGCTACATCTTAATACTGTTTAGAGACTTCAACTTGTGCGGAATGCATCTGCCCACTTGTTAAATGCTGTTTCTTACATGGAGCCAGCTGTTCAACACTTTATACTTCAGTTATAGGTTAAAACAACAATGGTTTCCTGTTTGTTTTCAGGTGTAAATGAAGATGATGATTTTAATCTATAAATCCTTAAATGAATTGTGTTCTGAGTATATCAAAACTTGATACTGTCTTCTTACATGATGCTGCAATAGTTGAGATCTAGTGAGACATACAAGCTTAAATATCTTACGCTACACGGAAAGATGCTTTCAGTAGGAGACTCTTATATTTCAGTTAATTTCCTCCACTTAGTTCATGAGTCTTGTAGGCTTACAGAGGCTTAACACTTGTTCAAAGCCTTGCATGAGTATATTTTAACAAAATAAATTACTTAAAACAATACAGCATGAGGTGAAAACATTTAGCTTTTTATCTTAATTTATTTTACCAATAATGATGAATTTTAGTAAATTATACATATTTTTTTAAAGTAGCACAGCAAAAGCCCTCATTTAAACACTAAATTAGAAGGCATTTATCTCTAGCTTTGAGAATCCAATAAGACTGCCATATGTGAAACAAGCAATTAAAACATGAAGAAACCCCAACTAGATTTCTAAAGATAATCCTATTAATTCACCTTTCTTTACAAAAGAGCATAGCTGAATAATGGAATGGCATTGTTTCCCCAGCTTTTATGGTTGCCATTCTGGTTAGTACAATATTGCATACAATTTCAAGGCTTGCATCTCTTTTATACAGCAAAGCTGTTTGTCTCACCTCTTTTCTTGGAATAGAATCAATGTTATTTCAGTGCTAACATAAAATAAAACAGAAAAAAGGCTTCCAACTTCAGTGTTGTGCTGCTTGTCAAAAGCACACATTTTACTGAAGTCAACTGAAGCTATATTAACTAATCCAATACTAGGTCTGGTCTGAGATGAAGCAACAAATAAAGAGGCATCTAAAATCACCAGTCAGCCCACGCTTAACTTCTCCAGCTGCTTTGCAGCATACTTGAATATTACAACACCAGTAGAATTCACTGACATTAGTACTAATGCTAAAAGCCACATACTAAGCAAAATGAAAATGAGTAGGCTTGAACTAGGTCATTGGATAGTACAGCTGTGATTTCTAGTTTCTATTCATCATTACTGAAAAGTTTTCTAAGAACATAAAAAAAGCTGTTGCTTGTAAGTGCTAAAGAGAAGAAATCTTTAACATTTGGAATTTATTAAGGCGGGGGAGGGTAATCACAGAGGGGGATCTAATTAGCAAAAATGCATTCAAACATGATTAATTTGTAATCCTGGCACCAGCTGTATTCAACCAAATGCTATACTTTGAGACAAACACCAGTGAGTTTTACATCTGTTTCATGCTAAGATAACATCTGCTTTATTCATTCACAACACTTTTCCAGTTCTGCAGCAATCTATATTTTTCCTAGTGTGCCATGTAAAGAAGAACATATAGAGTTAAGGGTAAATATTTGAATGCATGCTTAACTATTACTGTATGTTTGATTTGCTCAAAGGCTTATCATAGAATCCAGCATGTCTCCTAGGAAAAAATGTGTGAGTAGCCTAAGACCTATTCTCACAGAAACGTATGAAAGCAGAGTAAAGTGTAAAAGGACATTTTGGAGGATTTGCATGATAGTTTATGCAGTAATCTATCAAACACACTCCGACAATTGTAGTAAGCAGTGAAAACAACATACAAAGGATACAACATACTATGTCTACTCATAGTCAATATCCTGCTTTCCATACAAAAGTTTAGAACCAATGGGCACATCCCCACAAGTGGGAATGTGCATTTCCCCGGGGACAAACAACAGCAGTACAATATAGAATCATTGAAAATTAGGGTTGGAAAGGGACCTCCGGAGGTCACCTAGTCCAACCCACTGCTCAAAGCATTAACTATATCATTCCAGCCAGGGCTTTGTTAAGCCAGACCTTAAAAACCTCCTAGGATGGAGAGTCCACCACCTCTCTAAGTAACCTGTTCCAGTGCTTCACCACCCTCCTAGCGAGAAAGTTTTTCCTAATATCCAACCTAAACTTCCCTTGCTGCAATGTGAGATCATTGATCCTTGTTTTGTTATGTGCCATCACTGAGAACAGTTTAGCTCCTTCCTCTTTGGGACCGCCCATTAGGTAGTCAAAGGCTGCTATCAAATCCTCCCTCAGTCTTCTCTTCTGCAGACTAAGCCCAGTTCCCTGAGCCCTTCTTCATAAGTCATATGCCCCAGGCCCCTAGCCATTTTCGTTTGCTCTCCGTTAGACTCTTTCCAACTTGTCCACATCCTTTCTATAGTGCAGGGTCCAAAACTGGACACAGTACTCCAGATGTGGCCTCACCAGTGTAGAATAAAGGGGAAAAATTACTTCCCTTGATCTGCTGGCAATGCTCCTACTAATGCAGCAAAGTATGCCATTAGCCTTCTTGGCAACAAGGGCGCACTGCTGACTCATATCCATCTTACTGTCCACTGTAACCTCCAGGTCCTTTTCTGCACAGCTGCTGCTTGGCCAGTTGGTCCCAAGTCTGTAGCAGGGCATAGGATTTGTTCTGTCCTAAGTGTAGAACTTTGCACTTCTCCTTGTTGAAGCTCATGAGAGTTCTTTTGGCCCAGTCCTCTAATTTTGTCTGAATCCTAGCCCTACCCTCCAGAGCATCTACTACACCCCCCAGCTTGGTTCATAGATTCATAGATGTTAGGGTCGGAAGGGACCTCAATAGATCGAGTCCAACCCCCTGCATAGGCAGGAAAGAGTGCTGGGTTTAGATGACCCCAGCTAGATGCCTATCTAACCTCCTCTTGAAGACCC